TGCCAATACTCTGGCTAGCATTGTATGACGAGAAACTCTCCCATGAAAGCTCATGATACTGTGTATATATATATAATTTGTTACTCTCTAAGGTGCTACAGGACTACTTGTTTTTTTTTTAAAGTTACAGAGTAACAAGGCTAGCGCTCTGAGACCCCAACGGGAAAATATGAAACATGCAAGGACTGGGGTTTGTCCCGAAATCCTTGTCCCATATTTCCTTTTCCTGTGCTGTGGATAATAGCTGTGCCCACGTTCTCCCTCTGCAGTAGCAATGGCACAGCCAAGACCGGACTATCCTCCGTCTGCAGGAGCCAGCCTCCAGCACTGGGGCAGGACGCGGAAGGTCCCTATTCATCCCCCGTGAGCCCTGCGACAGAGCCAACCAAGCACCGTCCGGCCGCCTCTGGCTTATGCAACACTCAGAGCCGGTTACAGCCACCCCCAAAGAGCAGCCGCCTTCCCATCAGCGGCCAGGCTTTCCACTATCAAGCGCGTCACTGTCTTTGACCCAATCCCATTCCGACCCCTTCAGGGCACCAATCCGAGTCCTTTTATTTCTTTGCATCATCGCTATTTACAACCAATCACAGGCCTGTTAAGTATTTGCTCCTCCCCTCTCTGGTAACCCCTCCCTCATCTTGGCGTCACATCGGGAGCCCGCCAATCATTCCGAGGCCCCAACTCAGGTAGGGATGGACGCTTGCTACCTCTTCTTCATTCTGCACTCCCCCATCCCCTCCACCACCATGCACCTGTGGAACTACCAGCTATATGGTGTGACCGCCTAGTGTGGGACCTAGGAGCACAGAGGATGCAGTATTACCCCCAGGATTTACACAGGTTTCTGCTGCTGGTCCCTTCCTTGCCCCTGCTGTGGCCTCAGCCTTAGCCTCCTTACCCTGCCTGGGTCCCTTCCTCCTGGAGACACAGCCTTGGTCCTGGCCCCAGCTCGGGGTGGGGGATGTGGACAGGGGCCAGGGTGTTGGCTTTCAATACCCCCACTATGAAAAATGTTCTAGCGCCACTGTGTGGCTGAAAATCCAACCCCCAGGCTCCAGGGCAATGACTAGAATCCAACTGTGGGGAGGGAGAAGGGGTTAGGAAGACATTAACCCTCCCCCACTCCCATCCCAAGCAGGGAACGGGAGGACACCAGGCTGGATAGACCCAATTGTCTGATCTGTAGGGCAGGGGGGATCCCAGGCAAGATGGTCCAAGGGTCTGATCTGTGGAGCAAAGAGAGGGGATATCTTGTCTAGACATTAATCCCTCTTCACCCCTTTTGGGGGTTGCATCCCCCATCTCTCCCTTGTAGCCGAGTTCCACTCTCTCTGCCCTGATGGGAAAGGATTCATTCTGGACGACAATATACTGAACTATGGCATCCCTGCCCACCGAGGTGAGCACTAGAGTCTGCACTCCGATATGGCCAGGGCCTGCACTTGAGCACTGCGGGATCAGGAGCCAAAGCTACCTCTCCCCCTGCTCCTTACCAGTGAGTCAGGGGAGGGGGGGTGCCCTGTGGGGGAAGGTGGAGGGGGAGTTCACTGGGGGGAAGCCCAGATAGGTGTGGAAGCCTGAGGGGGTGTCCAGCGAGAGGGGGAGAGAATGAGCCCTCTTCTGGGCTTCCCTGCAATCTAGACTCGGAGTCTCTAAATTAGAGGGGAAATGGGCAATGTAGAGCCCAGAGCGGTGCTTCTGGGAAGCCAGAGTGCAGAAGGGAGATCTCTTTAGTGTCTGAGAAATGAGACATTTTTCTGGTGAAAAAGCAATGAGAAGAAACTGAGGTCCAGCGAGAGGGGGAGAGAATGAGCCCTCTTCTGGGCTTCCCTGCAATCTAGACTCGGAGTCTCTAAATTAGAGGGGAAATGGGCAATGTAGAGCCCAGAGCGGTGCTTCTGGGAAGCCAGAGTGCAGAAGGGAGATCTCTTTAGTGTCTGAGAAATGAGACATTTTTCTGGTGAAAAAGCAATGAGAAGAAACTGAGTCTGGGTGGAGAGACAGTGGAGCCACTCAGCCAGGGGCAAAGCCATCCTAGGCATCCCTGTCCCAGGCTAATCATAAATATGAAGTAGCTTATGGATGCATCACTGAACACACGGAGAAGCCTGAAGCATGCAGTTACTATGGGGATTGCAACCCCAAACCTGTGCAGATGATGGGTGCAGTGGGTATAAAACACCAAACACTGGAAAGCTGGGTTGAAGGCAGAGATTGGATGCTGGGGGGGGGGAGGGATTAAACCCAAGAATTGTAAATATTGTTGTCGGGCAGGTACTTGTATCTACCCAAAGAGAAACTCCAGCTTTCCTATTGTACAGTTGTGATGCCTGTAAAGTGCAACATTACTGAAATGAATGGGAGCCTCGTCTCTGCTGGCCTGTTTGCTTTGGTTGAGGACTCCCAGTGGTAGCTAGCAGATCTGCAGGCTGATGAAATCCTTTTCTGAACTTGCATGAAACAGCTGCTTCTGCTGCTCAAAATCCAGGGCACACCCTGACTTTGTTGCAGGCAAAGCACTAGCTGCCCCTCTGGTCTCCCTTAGTAATTGGATCCATCACTATCTTGTAAGATCCCTGGCATGGCTGTGGGGCACTGGTGTAACTGAGTTAAATGTAATTCTGTGCAGTGGGGAGAGAATGCATTTTATGGGGTTGAAGACTTAATTAGTACCAAGGAAAAAAATCTAAAAGGAGTTGGAGGAAATTTTCTTACAAATCATAAGTATTTTCCGTTCCTCTGAAAACCATTCTCTCAGCAAGGGAGGTGCTTTAGATACTATGTTTGTCTGCAGATCTGAGAATCTACTTCATGATAGTTTTTAGAGTCCACCCTACAGAGTTATTAGGATTAATTAGATCAGCCAGGAAAATTTACAAACTCAACCATAAACTCACATGGTCTCACCTTGATGAGAAATCTTAAGTGATTTTTGATGTCTAAGTTGTGATAGGAATGTAGCAGTTTGCAAGTGTGAATTAATTGTGCATATTTTAAGTAAAATGGTAAGTATTAAGTAAATTATAGGTATGTGAGGTAGGAACCAAACATTTCTTTCTTATACAGTTTCCAACTTTGAATGTTCCATCATTTCCCAAAACAACAAGAAATGTATTTTTGTCCTTCCTTTTTCTGTGGTTTCTGTTATCACGCAGGAGATACATTATGCTACAGTACTTACGTCAGTCTAGTTTTGAGAACTTTCCATTGCTCCTCCCCTTTCTGGAACTCATACAGAAAATTGTGGCTATATGCTGTAACTGGGCAAAACTGCCATCCAGTGGGATGGTGCTGACTCAAATGTCTTAGAATTGTTCCAGCCTTGCTTAAGATGTAAAGTGACTAACTTGTTTTTTTCCAGACTTTCACCTTTTATTCACCCTTAAACTCTTTAGTAAATCCCAGGGCTTGACTCTTAGAGGAGTATCTGGGTGGTAAGTGGGAGGGTGGTTAATGCTCATTTCCAATGGATATACAGCTACATTTTTAGGCCTGTATTCAGGATTTTTTGGGGTGTGTGCTTTTTTGTAAATGTGGACTGCAAGGATGTGAATGCATCCCCCCCCCCATTCCCCATGGTCCCTCTGGTAAGTGGGGAAATCAGCCCCAGCCCCCCCCCCCCGGGGGAGGGGGGGCGCAGAGCATGAAGGAGGGAGGCTCAGGTAGCATGTTACTCCTGCCTTCCCCTGGCTGGCGGGACCATGGGGGTGGGGGATGCTTTTTCGCTCTTTGCACCTCCCCTTGCTTACCGGCTGATTATGGTCTTGGAAGTGAATTTAAAAATTATTCCATAGATGCCAATTTATGTAAGTGCAGTCAGTCTGGTTCCTAATGTACAAAGCTTAAGACAGGTGGTCAAATATATTGGGGGGCTGGAGCTTCTGTGCACCTCCTACAGCTAGTCCTATCTCTTCTTGCGCTTATACCCTGCCTTCCCCCTTTTGTTCAAGACTAATATCTAGTCAAGGCATTATGTAATGAAAAGCTGCTGCCAGGATTTTGCCTTGGCATTTCTGTAGACTCACTGGCAAGTGATACATTGAAGCTCTGATTGAAACTTGATTCTTTTATGAATTTCTGGCTCTGTGTGTAGTAGCAGAGTATTTGGAAGTGCAACAAGCTATCATTTTGTGACTTAGTGTATGTGTGATGAGTTTAGCTCTGCAATTAAAAAAATTAGCATCTCTTATAGGGATGGTAGATTTAAGAATGTTAAAATGCAATTATCTGGCTAATCATTTAGTCAGTACAATTTGTTTAGTCAATTTGTATTGACTATGCTGTTAGTCAATAAGCAGCATTCTACAGAGCCACAGCAGGGGTAAACGAAATTGGTGAGTAGCTTTTCAGTTAGTTGGCAGCTGTGTAACCTCTTCAG